ACTACAACCACATGAAATCAGTGTAGCCCATATGCCAAGTAAAGCCCTTCAAAACATCCTAAGCAAACCCAAAGACTCAGCAACCCCAGAAGAAAAAACAGGAGTCATCTACAACATACAATGTAAGAACTGCAACAACCACTATGTAGGACAAACAGGCAGAAGACCAGCAGAACGCATCCATGAACACCAACTGGCAGTCAGAAGACATGATGAAAATTCTTTAATTTCACAACATATAGACAGATTTAACCATAGTTTCAATTGGGAAAATGTGACAATCCTAGACAGGGAATTGCCAGGGAATTTCTAGAAGCCTGACATTCTGACAAATCAGCCATCAATAGACAGATAGACATTAACAACATCTATAGACTATGCAAAAGAGACAACCAGCCCAAAAGAGAACAAAAAGACTCCAGCACCTCTCCACCAGTAATCAGCACCCAGATCAGCATAGATCAAGGTCACTTTCAGACCAACAATCAAGTAAGCAATACCCCAATCAAAAAACTGCCACAGAGCCATTAGTGAACAGCCCAACCAAAGAATCCCTAAGACCGCCACCCACCCACCCAGACAGGCAAGACACCAGAATATAAACAGACAGCAAACAGCACTCCTTACTAGCCCTGATGATGTTACCTAGTTAGGGTACTGAAAAGTCTGCAAGAAAACAAGCAAGCTCAGAGGGCACCAAGGACCCCACATGTTCAACCCTGAGCTACAAATATCCTCCTTTATTGGTAGCTGATTGACCGTACCAAAATGAGGAATTCTAAGGGATTGGACAACAGCAATATCAACCAAGAGGTATTTTAAAACTCTTGATTTTTCTTCGATCATAATATATTTTGGTATGAGAAAACCAGGAAGCCTTCTTTCGTGTGTCTTTAACTTATTGCTTTCCATGTAGATTTGCTCCACAGAGAGATTTGAGATGGACTGAATCATAGGCGTATTATTATGGCTGGGGGTTGGACTATGATACTCATTATACTTATACTTATTATACTTATTATAATAATAATAATAATATAAATTTAAATAATAATAATAAATTACACCATCTGAAATTAATCATATTCTTTTGGTCAAATCCTCTTTACAGTGGAGGAGAGAAGCATGTATCTCTTGAAGACTCAATGACTGGATTTAAAAGAAACATGACAATATTTCTTGGGTGTCCAAAGCAATCTGAATGCTCATTAGTGAACATAAATTTTAAATTTTAATTTTTTTGAAAAAAATAGAGCTGCTTTGCTTGTTCTTTTCCCCCTGTCATTCCGTTCTTCCCTTCAAAGAAAGGAATTGGCTGAGTCACCCAATTCCAACAAGGGACTGAAAATCACTAAAGGGTTATGATATAATAATGGTTGTCATTCACAATAGGCTATGAAAGTACTGGTGCTCAGATGTGCTTCTCCATGGTTAATTTCCTTCTGTCCCATTTGCAGTACAAATTGGCACAGCTTGGAACATCTCTGTCCAGTTTTCTCGGCTATCAAAGCATTCTGACTTTAATAATGAAGAAGCCTGGATTTGGCCACTCCAGTCCCAAATAGTAACAATGGTAGTATTCATTTACAGCCATTGACCAGTCAACAATAATGTATACAAGTCAACAATAATACAAGTGACAATATTCTCAGGAAATTTCTGGTTGCTTAATACATTTTGCTGATTTACATTTTTATTTTTCAAGCATTTAAATTTTAAAGCTATTTATTTCTAGAGAACTACCAACAAAGGGGAAAATCACATTTTAAGCATAATCCAACCCAACATTTAGTTCCATGTCAACTGTGTGCAATCCAGATGTTTAAGCAGTCTCCCAAATGGAATTCATGGAGTCAGAATGCTCACAAATTCAAAAGAGAAGCGAAGTCTTTAGACTATCGTATCAATCTCTTTGCAGTCATAAAAACATTCCTTTGTTACTTACATTGTTGATTTTAAACTGCAGGTGGATTTAAGAAACATTTACAAGATCAATAAAAGTTCTAAAATAAAATTACTATGTGACATAATTTAAAAAAAAACAGTCTAATGCAGTATTTCACCACATCATATGGATTAATATGGCATTTCAAGCACTATATTGCTAATAACCTGCCAATTTCTTTCACAAAAGATGCATAGGCTTGCAATATGCGCAAAATGATAATTGTTAAATGTAATTTTATCTTATCAAAATATGAAATATAGATGGTCAAATAATTGTTAAAATTAGGATATTGGACATGCCAGTTTTTGTTCCTTAAAATTTAATTTGCTATGGTTCAACCATGTGTAAATATTTTTATAAGACTTTTTCAAGAACATATTAAATATGCTAGTATATATATATCTTTGCAAACATTTTTGATGCATTTCTGCTAAATTATTCATTTTAAATGCTGGGAAATCTTTCAGATAGAACTATTAGGGGGGAAATATCTGCTCCAAGATTTAATGCATGGAAAAATGGAAATAAAGAAAACGCATGTGTCCTAGACATGTGTGCCATGTCACATGGCTCCTTTCAGTTTTTTTAAAATCATTTGGAATACCGTACCTTAATTCAGGATGGGGGGAGGGGGGTTATGTTCTTAGATACAAAGTATCATAAGGTGATAATTATATCCCCAGGATGATTTCTCATTTATTGTGACACTAACTAATTCTAACCCATTATATATTTAGGATCAATAAACTTCAAAATTAATTGAACTGGATTGTTTTCCTGCAGCTTTGGCTGCAGCAGATTTAGCTTCCTAATGTCTGCTGCAGAAACACTCAAGTGGTGAAACACAGAGGTGGGTAGAGAGAAATCTGGTGTTGTTGGTTTTTTTAACAAAATATCATCTTAATTTTAAAAATCCTTGGGCTTATTTTGGATTTTCACTCTGTGCTAAATGTGATATTTATGAAGTGCTTGATTTGACTTGATGCCCTGATGTAATTTTAGGCCTTACACCAATTGCTTTCGTTCAATGGTGAGTGCTCAGAGAGAGCAAAGAACAATTGATTACATTCCAAAATAAAATATAACATTTTATATTTCCCAGTCCAGTTGCATCCATAAAAATGAATTCCACTGAGTTTAATGGCATTTCCTCCCAGGTAGAAGCACAGCATAACTACTTACCCATGCACTGTGTATTTGGTTAATTGGGATGCTTCCTAGTCAGATGCACATAGAAGTACAGCTTTAGAGAATTACGTTTTCAAAAGCTATGTGCCTTTTTAAAATTCAAGCAAGTGCCCTACTTGGAGTGGAAGAAATTATTTGGAGGCCAAATTATATACCTCCAATATATATGCTTTAGAAGAGTGGATATAATGCAATAGAAATTTAAAACAAAATAAATGATAAATTTGATACTGAGCATGTTAAAATAATAGTAATGACTAGAATAGTACTTTGATTCTATGGACATGAATACCTACAGTTTATACCCACAGAAGGCTGGGACATGAGTCGATTTAAGGAGTGGTCATTGAGGGAAGGAGGAGAGACTCTACTGAGCAAGGCTATCTATTGTGACTTACTGTGCTTCCCTGCACGGCTGGTTTGTTTCCACAATCACATTAGCTCCATCAGAAAAATCTGTGGAGGCAAATCTCAAAAGTAGTGATCAGACTAATGCAGCAACTCCTATAAGTGCAAAGGCTGGCCCGGGGATGATTTTATTGTATTAATCGTGTTTATAATAGCCTTTCTGCTAAGGACTACAAGGTGATTTACATTGCATCACCCTTCACAGTACTATCACTGCAACAATACTGTAAGGAAGATTGTGAGACTGTGATTAGCCCAAAGGCCCAGTGAGCACCATAGTCTATTGGAAAATTGGGTTTGCCGGGTTCTAGTTCAAACCTCAGTCATGAGGTAGCTATGTCTATGCATGTTCCTTTTTATAATAGATCAGAAATGCATCATAGCTGGAACCGCATATGCAGTCCTCTGGCAATAAGCCTTATTGAGCTTATACTCATATACTGCGGGTAAATTCAGAGCCAATCTGACAGTTTAAAAGGATGAATGAATAGATCCCAAAACATTATGTTTTATCTTTGGAGCAATGTTTAAAGACTACAGTCTCCATTTAAATCGATCACTTGCACTGTCTTCTGAGCTTACCTCCTTTATTTCTCTCTAGACCAAATATATCTATCTGACTATGTAGTGTGTATGAGAGATTTGGAAGGGCACCATATCCCATTTGGTTTCGGATAAGTGAGTATCCCCCCCCCCTACACATTATTTCCCTTTGTGTGCACCTTTGCTGATCTTTCAGTTTCTTCCTGTCTCGCTAATATAAATTTTCTGCATTACTGGAGAATTTCGTAAGCACATTATAAGGTTATGTTTAAGACACACAGCCTCAAAATCGGGCTAAAGAAGCAGCATTTTAACAGGGTTTTTTTTTTTGCTGGCTAGGAAGAGGGGCGCCGTCTGAAATAGGATCCTGAAAGAATACTTTAAACTTCACTACTATCTCGTGAAGTTAATAAAAGAGGCGTCCCCTGGAAGAAGGATGGAGGGAGAAGGAATGCGTGGTTGGACTTCTTCAAGACAATTGGAGCTGCCTGGGGAAGACAGCGATCTGGGGGAGTGGATGGGGAAGGGAAGCAAAGACACAGCCCTGGCAGAGGTTTTTAACCTGAAGCAGATGCTTTACCAGCCATCTCTGGCACCGGCCTTTTGAAGTTCCACTTTCTGTTGCGCGAGTTGCGGCAAGTCCCCAGCTGTGGGACGGTAGCCCGGACAGTTCTCTCTTCGCAACCAGCTGGGGGACGTTTCAGGACCACGGTGGAGTTCAGTACCTCGGACAGCTCCCGCCGGCTGCCACGTACACCCCGCCTCCCCGCCACTTACCAGAGCTCCGAAAACTAACCCGAGGCGCATTCGCCTCCGCGCAGCGACTCTGCAGCAGCGGGAGCGGGCGAGGGAAGCCCATCCACGCGGCTTCCCGCCTCTTGTCTTCTTTCTTGCGGGGCTTGGCTTGGGAAGCATGGAGCGGAGAAGGTGCGAAACCACGGGAGCCATCCCGCGATTGCAGGGACTCCTTTTGCTTTTCCGTGAGTACGGGCTTTCCCGCCTTTAGCAAGGCACTCTCCTCTCATTCCGCCGATCCCGATCCGCCTATTCGCCTTAATCAGCTCGGTTTGGGGAAAGGGGAGAGGAAAATAGCCAGGAAAGACCGCTTATGTGTCCTGAGTGTAAGATAAATAGACGCAACTAAATAGCTTCCCTCCTCCCGTCCGCACCGCCCCGGGGAAGGTAGATGGCTGGAGTTCTCTGGCGAAATTCTAACTTCATGCCCAAAGCAGGCAGAAGCTGCCTTGTAAAGAGAAATCCCCCTTCTCGGCAACCTAAATCGGAATCCTCTTATTCTCTTTCCCTGTTTTTTTTCTCCCAACAGATGCACTAGCTGGTGGGCTGGCAGAACAAGAAGTGGAAAACCTTTCGGGGTTATCTCCAAATCCCGAAAAGGCTATTTTTGTAGTTCGGGAAAACGGAACCACCTGCCTCATGGCGGAATTCGCGGCGAAATTAGTCGTTCCCTACGAGATCTGGGCCAGCAATTTTGTTGATGTAAGATTCTCTTCTTTTAATTTGAATATCATCTATTAGAAGCCTCAGAAGAATGGATTTCAATATTTGGGGGGGATATCTGTGGCTTAGGTTTGTGTGCGTGTGTGTGTGTGTGTGCGCGCGCGCAGGGGGGAAACCGAGAGAAGAGGGGAGGATTCGAATTAATTTTAAATCTAATCGCAGCCTTTTTAAAAGCGGCGTGTTGCTAAGGCAATGCAACTTCGCTTTCTCCCCCTCCCTGTCACTCACATGGGGGAACTGGCAAAGCATCCCCATCCCCCATGTAAATATAGTTTGCAAAGAGTTGTCTGTCCTGCCCCCGCTCTCGTAGCTCCCGACCCAAATCTTCCCCGGAATAAAAGCCGTTACCTTTCGCTGCAGAAAAGACTTTTTTTTTTTAAATCGTGGAAAGTGCACAAAGTTTACTTCAATCCTTTTCTTGTTCATATCGGAGGATGAAAGGGAGTGACAATATATAATTACTCACTTTGATTCCCTGGGGCGCGGAGGTGCGAGGAGGGGGGGGAGAGCTGGTCTATTATGAGTAATTATTACTACATCTCGGGCGGTACAGTAAATAAGGTTGCGTGTCCTCCTAACCCATTGTGGGGAGCTGAAGCTAGCCTTGTTTACGATTATATTGGAGGAGGGGAGAAAACCTCACAGCTTTTCCCCGATGCTCCCGCAGAAGCTCTTTGTGGAAGTGTTTGGGGTCAGGCCCTAACGCGCCCATGTTGTGTTGTGTTGTGGCGTGCATTCAGATGATCACCGAGCAAGCCTACATCCAGCTTTCCCGCGGAGCCGAGGAGCGAGGCAAATGCAGCAGCAACGAATCCGAGCTCCACATTTCGTGGCTCAACCGAGCTTACACCCTCAGCCTTTATTTCGTCAAGGTATCGGAAGGGAAAGACACCAAAGGTCTGCCTCGAAGGCGCCCTGACTTAAGACAAAAAAAAAAAAAAGGCCGGGAAGGGGAGGGAGGGGCAGAATCACCTCGCAGGACCCGAGGAAATCAAAAGTGAAGGAATTAGCCCGAGGTTGGAGTGGGGGGGGGAGGAAAAAAAAATCGGTAGTCGGAGAGAGAAATAAAACGAAGACGGGGCCTTTTTTTCTTTTCGACCGTACGCCGTCGCCAAAGAAGGCAGCCGACGGCTCAGATCAATCCCCCTTCCTTCTGCCCCGAGAAATCTGCCGGGAAGGCGGCCGAGCTGAGAAAGCTGCGAGCGCGGGCAAATGTTCCCTGGGCCAGTCCGGGCGGGCGGCGAGGCTTCCCTTGGGCTGCCTCGACCTTTGGTCTTTTCTTGCCCCTCTCTGCTCCCCCTTTTTCTTCTTCTCTCCTCCGTCCCCCCCATTCTCTCCCGCCTTCCCGGGCTCGACAGGAGACTCGCAACACAAGTTCTGGCCCCGAGGCCTGGTGGAAAATGAGCAAAGTCCAGTTCGTTTACGACAGCAGCGAGAGCACCTACTTCAAAGGCGCGGTGAACCGTAAGTGCGGCGCGGCCGAAGCCAGGCCTGAGGGTCGGGGCTGGGGGGAGAAGGAGAAGAGGGAGTTGCTCTTTGGGGTATGGCCGGTTAGGGAAAAAAAAGCCCGGGGCTCTCATTCCGACCCGAGGGCCGTGGGAATGGTGAGGTAGGGGAGGGCAAAGGAGAGGGCCGCCGAGGCCGCGCCACTCACAAGCGACTTTGTCTCCTTGCTTGCAACCTCTGCAAGCGCTGCTGCAGCGGGAGGGAGCCTGAAGACTTTTCAGCCAGTCCTCTCTCCCCCCCCCTTTCTCCCTCCAAACGGGTCTGCTCAGGTCTCCCCCCCCCTTTCTCCCTCCAAACGGGTCTGCTCAGGTCTCCCCCCCCTTTCTCCCTCCAAATGGGTCTGCTCAGGT